ACAAGTACAAGTACAACTACACCACCAACAGCAGCACCGGCAACAACATCGGCGAGGGCAACCACAAGAACAACAACAACAACAACAACAACAACTACTACTACTACTACTACTGCTACTGCTACTACTACTGCTACAACTACTGCTACTACTACCACTACAACGACGACGACGACGACGACAACGACGACTACTACGGCGACTACCACTGCGGCCGTTTCTGTTGCTACATTGTCCTATTCTGCCTCGACCGTGAACACCGAGCTGCGACCGCGACTTTGGTTTTACTGAAGGTGCGGCAGAGCAACAACAACAACAACAACAGCACCAACGACAACAGCAGCAGAAGAAGCTGTAGCAGCAAAGCACAATCGCCGCCACCTGCAGCACTGTCGGCGACACATCAACCACCAGCACAGGAGCAAGACTAATCAAGCATGTTACATGGTTTGGGACAGAAAGTGCAGAAATTGCTCTCGGACGACGTGTTGATTAAATCTTGCCATAAGGTTTGTTCTTCAAGGTTCAGGATGCAGCCTCTTAAAATTTTCTGCAAATTCACACGAAGCAAGTTTCGAAAACCTCATTTACACCGCTACAGTGTTAAATGCCAGACCAGAACCACAACAGCTGGAGACAGGGGTTTCTGTGGGCCAGCGGCGCACACATCACAGTCGTCATGCATGCTTCTGGTCAGGCCCAGCATTTTGAATGGCTCCCAAAGAACGAGATGAAAGCAGGTTGGGGCAGTTCAAATAGCGAGCCCGTATAGAACGGACCCCCTTATCCCGCACACACTCATCGCAGCTTATGAGGACCTTGGTTCATTGGAGGGCCTGCAACGACGGCCAGCAAGTTCGATGGATGCTTCTGGGTGTAGCACTGCAACACTGGCTCCCGAAACCCTAAACCCTAAACCGAAAGCCAAAGCCCCCTAAGCGCCGACCTCCCAGGATGGACATCTTGGTGCAGGCGCAGGATGTTGCAGAGCTTTGCTCGGGCCCCAGTGAATTTCTACCGACATCCGGCGACAAAAGAACCGTTTTAATGTAGGGGCCATTAGATTAGGGTTTCCGTAGATTGTACTATAGTTATAATAAGGAACCCCCCCAAACCCTGTTATGATTATGAAGGCCCCTGCATTATACTGTAGTTAATTTTTGCAGCTCCCAGAGCCCGAAGGTCCCATAACTAGATCGGTCTCGAGTGGCCCGGTACCCCCAGGCCTTGAAGCAAAGTCAACATCAGAAGAAGCGAGAATCGGACCGCCGAAAATGGAACTTTGAGAAAAACGTCTAGGTGTAGGTTGTAGGAACAGTGTATTCACAGCAATAGGGCCAAGAACCGTACATAAGCATACCAGCATAGTCCCATACTAAGCTCGAAATATCACTCCAGGATCTGGTCTGCGGCCAAGGCTCTACCAGCAACTGCATTTCACACTGGCCCCGAACACGCCGCGCCGGAACACGGGCAACAGCATCTCCAAAAATGCTCTTCTCAAGTTCTGGAGTCCCAAAGTGGGATTTACTTCCAACATGATTCACCACAATGCTTGCGATATGATCGCACTGGTCGCCGAGATGAGATCACGGCAAGATAGAGATATGGTCCTTCTGCAGTTACAATGCTTTGTGCTAGTAAGTAGCATCAGGTTATGGCCTCCTGCGCAGAAGCAATGCAAGGAACTCACGCTCAAAACGGGCATGCAGCACTGCATAAACAAGATAAAGCCGCATGAGAATGAACGTGTAGCATCGAGTGAAACACACCTTTGGCGAGAATATACACATGTGTCCAGACGTGGCGGTCGGCTTCTTTCACAACTGACTCCTCATGAACGGCATGAGCATGGCCCACCATGGCTGAAGCACCCCATCAGGGCAAATACCACTTGCATACTGCGAGGCGCGAACCAGCCACGCTCATGTCTTTGCAAGCTCTATGCCGAAGGTAGCAAACCAAGAAGCTGCTTGTTGCAGTGGAGAACAATTTCCGAAGATGTTTCGGTGGTGCCGCTGAAAATGAGAGCTGCGAGGCAACGAAGAAGAGCTCGGAAAGCGAGCAGCTGCGTTGTTGGAACGCAGGTGGCCCAGGATGCTTCGACGGGTGTAGAGCTCGAGGAGTTTAGAGAGCTGCCAGCTTCGAAGAAGGGCGCTGCCCATTGATTTGTTTTTTGCAATCTGGTCTAGAGCCAACCCCCTTGCTCTTAATGGATCGAAGGCGCCAGATCAGATGAAGGGCTGCAGGATTTTAGAATTCCAGGCTGCTTAGGGCCTACGAGTCTCGTTGAAGGTTTCAAGAACTGCTTTGATTGCAGTCGGCTTGGCAAGCTTCGGGTTATGCCTGTTCCATGTGTGGCCTCTTCCTGGTTTTTTGCAGAAAGAATAGGGTTTGAGCTTTCGCCGCTTGCTGACACGGCTTGTTGCTTCCAAAATCTTCGGAGAAGGAACCCGAAGCTCAAACCTGCAAGAATGCCGCGCGTAGAGACATATTGGGGCGGGCAGAGAGGGGCCTGTCAGTTTCTTTGGAATGTAAACATGGTGCACGTAGGCTTCCACAACTCCCATAGAAAGGAGCACCGCCGTCAATCCTTCACAGCAAATAGCTGAACAGGTGGTCGTACAGCTGCACCTGAAAGTGTTTTCCTTTAGGACGGCAAAGCACCTGTGAGTATCGAGAGCCACAAAGAACGGAAACTGCTTGCATGAGAAAGCCTACTCGTACCATGAATTCCAAGTCCGTCCGAGGCACCAAGGTCAAGGACGACGCCTCAGACTGGATTTGCATCGACGCGGGAGTCAACCTGCATCAGAAACCCAGTTTTCCATGGGTATGCTAGTTTTGCCGCAGCCGTGGTTGCGCTGACCAGCATCGCTTGCGTAGGGTAGGATGAGGTGATCCCCAAAGATGAGAGGCAGGGAGCCTGAATCTCGAACCTGCACAGAGTCCTTATGGACTTATGTGTCTTTCTTTTTGGCATCCCGCAGTGCCCCGAGCATTCCCGATGTGACTTCAGCACAGTTCGCCCCGAAAGCCGCCTTCTGATTCACCGATCTGCAAACTTCAGGACACCACCCAGAGCTTGAAGGCAAGAACGAGGCCACATGGTCTTACAAACAAGCTTCTAGAGCATCTCAACATTCACACACGCAAGCCATGGAATCCCCCGTCAACATACATATGTAGGGTCTGGGTTTCGGGTGACCAAGCTTTTAGCCTCTTGCAAAAACCTCCTTTCGGACCGTCAATCCCAAACTGAACCCATCGAGGCCCCTGTGGCCGCGGCGATACAAATCGAAGATGTTGCCGAAGCTGCTCCGGCCATGGTCTCAGCCGTTCGGGTGTCAGAGGACAAGGGCATCCTGGTCCAGTGGGGTGAAGTAGATCTGGGACCACCACCTCGAGCGAGCGGCTCCATCCAAGCCCCTGGCCCGACTGCACATCTGCACCAATGCATTCTGCAACATGTGTTTCCCCGACGCATGATTGAAAAAAATGGTTGGGCGGGTATTTCCACGTTTGGCCTAGTGCTCGGAGTCCATGTGGTACAAATCATACCGCTTGCAATGGCGCAGCACCGGGAGGCAGCAATGCAGAAGAAACGGCGGCAGAGCAGAGTCATGATCAAATGGTCACGATCCTCTCCTCTCGCCGGCGACCATAACCGTCGCCACCCCACCAGCGTCATCAGCGTCGCGACTGTCATGGTCTTCATTATCACCACCACCAAAAACGTCATCGCCAGCACTACATCATGATCATTACTGCCATCGCATCGCATCACCAGCAGTTTCCAACAGTGCTACGACTCGCCGCCGTTGTGGCCGTGGTAGGAGGAGCGGTAGCACCAGTTTGAGTACAGTCACTATAGTCCTCGTCGTGCAGCAGCTCGTTTTTCGTCGTGATGGGACGGCTCTCATCCTTAGAAGTTCCTGGCAGAGGCAATTCCAATTGCATTGAATCAAGCGATTGAAGCTCTGAACTTTGTCACTGTCCCCAAACCGAAAGCACCTGACATTTGGAGTTCTTGACCTTGAGCCAGCACCCCCGATGAGGCCGCAGCGACTGAGGCGGCTCAGGCCGGTGCTTCATGTGGGCTTCCGTTGCCAGAACCAGCAAATAAGGCACTCCCAAGTTTTGTGTCCGGTTGGGATTGTTGGTGACCAGTGCGTTCACGGCTTCGGATCTGTCCTTCGCATTCACCGAATTTCATAGTGTTGACCCTTGCCATGCTGATCGGTCTGTGGGTTGATTGTTGTGGACATGCACGCATCTGTGGTCTCGTTTGCCAGCGGCTTGCTTGGGTTGGTGTCTGTTGAACCTGGCGCATGATGACAAGACAGAAGGCCGAGTTATAAGGCTGTTGTATTTTCTGGCAGCCGCCTGGTGACTGAACTCGGGAGGGTGAAAAGAGACACTGAGACTGGAGGCGCAGGCGTCTTGTTTCTATAGCACATGATTCAACAGGCGAGTCAGATACTGCGCCAGCACCGGGCACAAGATAGTTTCCTGTGGTCTCATTGGGTTGGCGGCTGGCTGCTTCAGCACTCTGCTTCGCTTGCCTCCTGCTGCATGATGACAAGACAGAAGGCCGAGTTTTAAGGCAGCCACGGCAGCCTGGTGACTGAACTCGGGAGGGTAAAAAAAGTCTGAGACCGGAAAGCAGGGCAGAGTACATGGCAACATGTTGGCCTGCGGAAATTATCATGGGCGTGCACCAGCTCGGATAGCTTGTCACCCTGCGGTGCAGTCGAGGCTGTGCAGTCGGTGGTGTCAACCAATCGGCACGCGTACTCGGAAGGCTGTTGTACGTTCTGGCAGCAGCCTGGAGGGTAAAGGCCAGAGCGAGTTAGTACGATGCCACAGGCGTATCAGCTACGCAAGCACCGGGCAAAAGAGGCGTTCTGTGGTCTCATTGGGTTGGCGGCGGGCTGCATCAGCACTCTGCTTCGCTTCCCTCCTGCTGCATGATGACAAGACAGAAGGCCGAGTTTTAAGGCAGCCACGGCAGCCTGGTGACTGAACTCGGGAGGGTAAAAAAAGTCTGAGACCGGAAAGCAGGGCACAGTACATGGCGAGGGTAAAGGCCGGAGCGAGTTAGTACGATGCCACTGGCGTATCAGCTACTGCGCAAGCACCGGGCGCAAGATAGTTTCCTGTGATCTCATTGGGTTGGCGGCTGGCTGCATCAGCACTCTGCTTCGCTTCCCTCCTGCTGCATGATGACAAGACAGAAGGCCGAGTTTTAAGGCAGCCACGGCAGCCTGGTGACTGAACTCGGGAGGGTAAAAAAGTCTGAGACCGGAAAGCAGGGCAGAGTACATGGCAACATGTTGGCCTGCGGAAATTATCATGCACGTGCACCAGCTCGGATAGCTTGTCACCCTGCGGTGCGGTCGAGGCTGTGCAGTTGGTGGTGTCAACCAATCGGCACGCGTACTCGGAAGGCTGTTGTACATTCTGGCAGCAGCCTGGAGGGTAAAGGCCAGAGCGAGTTAGTACGATGCCACAGGCGTATCAGCTACTGTGCAAGCACCGGGCACAAGAGGCATTCTGTGGTCTCATTGGGTTGGCGGCGGGCTGCTTCAGCACTCTGCTTCGCTTCCCTCCTGCTGCATGATGACAAGACAGAAGGCCGAGTTTTAAGGCAGCCACGGCAGCCTGGTGACTGAACTCGGGAGGGTAAAAAGTCTGAGACCGGAAAGCAGGGCAGAGTACATGGCAACATGTTGGCCAGCTCGGATAGCTTGTCACCCTGCGGTGCGGTCGAGGCTGTGCAGTTGGTGGTGTCAACCAATCGGCACGCGTACTCGGAAGGCTGTTGTACATTCTAGCAGCAGCCTGGAGGGTAAAGGCCAGAGCGAGTTACTACGATGCCACAGGCGTATCAGCTACTGTGCAAGCACCCGGCACAAGAGGCATTCTGTGGTCTCATTGGGTTGGCGGCGGGCTGCTTCAGCACTCTGCTTCGCTTCCCTCCTGCTGCATGATGACAAGACAGAAGGCCGAGTTTTAAGGCAGCCACGGCAGCCTGGTGACTGAACTCGGGAGGGTAAAAAAGTCTGAGACCGGAAAGCAGGGCAGAATACATGGCAACATGTTGGCCTGCGGAAATTATCATGCACACGCACCAGCTCGGATAGCTTGTCACCCTGCGGTGCGGTCGAGGCTGTCCAGTCGGTGGTGTCTACCAATCGGAACGCGTGCTCGGAAGGCCGTCGTAAAGTCTGGCCGGACGCAGCAGGCGCCACCGGGCAAGCCGGCGGCACCTGTGGTTGTAATTGACCAGCTGGGTGAGCAGCGGAACTGGCCCGACGTTTGGCAACATACTGTGGTGCAGACAGTGTGCTCGATAGGTTCTGCGTGGATGGTTTTTCAAAGAGGCCTTCTGCCCAGGATAGCTCTCACGGTAAGTAGGACTTTGTCGCCGCTTGGCTTTCGACTTCCACCAGTGATGTGAAGCCGAAGCCCTTTATCTTTGCGTAGGCCCACGTTGGTCCAATGCTTGCAGACCTCTGGTTTTTCCTTCTGGCAGCATGAGCATGGAGGGTTCGCAAGGAGTCATGATGCAAATCAGCGGCCTTCTCAATCGCATGCCTTGCTACATGGATTTGCGTTTGATGGGATCTTGGGGGGCGCTGCCAGATTCTGAATACCTAGACTAGATCACCAACTCTTCGCTCAAAAGCGGGAGGATGCTTCGCTTCGCGGGAGTGAAATCGGCTCCGTTCTAAACTCTGTATCAGAACCAGCTCGGCGCTGATTCGCCACACCGGGAAATCGAGCTTCATCCCCACGCTAGCGAACAGAACTTCAAGTACATAGGCCATCCCCGACCCGGCTCGTTGATAAGGGACGGTTGCGGGCTTAGGTGTTTCGGACAGCCTTTTGCTAGTTGCTGTTTCCCTACAACTAGGCAACAAGCACGGTATACCATTATAAATTATACTGCAACGCTACCCAAACACCAATGCTACTTAAGATGGTCCCTGCATCAGCTTCAAGCTCCCCCTGGCTCCAGGCTGTGAGCTCTGCGGCCCCAGCTGCACCGAAAGGCGACAGCGCCAGTAGGGCTCGGACCTGTTGGAGATTTGTGGGCAACGATGTTGGTTTTTGGGATTTGGGGGTTCGAGTACCACATGTCTTAGTTGTGCTTCAGGGCTTAGAGCTGCCAAAGGGCTTAGGGGCTTATGGTGCAACAGCCTCGATTCAGAGCTTCAAGAACATGGGGGGGTGGGTTTCCGTCAAGCTATCAGGGACTTCCATAAGGTTCAGGATGGCGAAGGGTCGTCCACTTTCGGAGTCTGCTCGGAAAGCATGGCACGGGATTTGCTGTGAACTCAGGAACACGGCAGGCAAGCCTTTAGATCGACAGACCAGGCTTGAACAATCAGGTCTTCCACGGGTGAATCTCGCGGGGCCTCGGGCAGCAGGAGCTTCCTGCGCCACCCAAGGCCCAAGGCCCCTACAGGCAGAGTCCCAGTCACCGTGCCTTCCAGCACTGCCACGCACATCCCTGGTTTTCGGTCCAGCAAGACCGCGACAGACCTCAGGAATGAACCTCTCTGCCGAAAGTGTCCATCGCCATGCCCGGCAAAACAATCTTACGTTGGAAAACACCGTGATGCAATAATAGGATCCGTCATCGTTTGTCAGCTCGGGCATGGCTCGGCCCTGCAAGATTAACAATCCTGACTCCGAGACCCTACATATGCTTCCGACTTCGGGCTTTCGCCAGGCTTGGACCCAGTGCTGGTGAGGCTCGGGGCTCCGAAAGAACGCTGCGGGGTGTTCCGATCATAAAGCACTTGGGGGGGTATAGGTTTGGAATTCCGAGATCAGAACCGCATTGTGTAGCAGATATCATGGGTTTCCACCATGCCTGGAACTCAACCAAGTCATGCGACGGGTGAGTTATGTCGACACTGCTCCAGATGCAGTGGCATCGTTGGCACCTTTGCTGCATAGTGTGGTCTCTCTGATACTGATACGTTGCGTCGAGGACGATTTGCCGCTCATGCGAAATTGCTAGCTCTTCGTACCTTCCGGCAGAATCGTTCGACGTCGCCTCGTCAGGAATCCCACGAGAAATGTGTGTTGTTCGTGCAAGCCCACAGGTGTTCCCGAAAACCAATGCGAGTGAATCACACGCAGAGACACGAAAATCACAATTGTTTAGACGAGCGATGCTGAAGGAAGATTTGAAGAGTCATGGGTTTCGTATGCACACAGACGGCCACCGTTTGGGCAGGAAGGCCGTTATGAGACTCGTCAAGGATGCGATTGCCGGGAGCTTGGCGTCCAGCACTTTGTTTGCCGATCTTTTTATTTCAAACACTGGGAAGGGAGAAAGGATGAAGAGGGGGGGGCAGGACGGACACCAAAATCAACGTACTCGAAAGGCCGATGACGGAGAGTTGGAGGTTGACAGCCCCTTCATGGAAGCCGGCATGGACAGTCCGGACCTCAACAGACCCTCATGTTGTGGTTTGAGAGTCTAGGCCAAGCCTGAGTTGTGCCGGCGAGTGCTCCTCATTTTTGAAGGTCTTTCCAGCGTGGCGCTCACAAGTTCTTTGGCAAAGGACATACATGTACGAGCGCAATGGCTCGATCGTTGATCAGTTTTGTGTTTCCTGGCCGAAGTAGTTCGATGCAGCTGGCCTCGACGTAGGAGTTCGGGTTCGCCCTCAGCCCTTCGTTGGTGTTCGACTTCCCGAACGTGCGTGCCTTGGAGGCGGGACCCGGGGGCAAATGTTCAAGTTGGCCATGCTTCGATGAGCTCGATGTTGCAACATGTTGCAACTTCACTGGGCAGGCGCATCTCGTCGAAGAGAGTTTGAGTCGCTGATGGCGCATTTGCTCGTTCACCTGCATTTATCTTTCGTTTTCGTTGAGCGGGGCGTACAAGGGCTGCATGGAATCCGATGGCAGTCTCGACTGATTTATGGTTCAACACATGATATGTTTTGTTAAAGAACGGTTGGTTTCTGCAGGTATTTTCGAGTGTATGCATGTGTCTTAGTTGCTTGCATCGTGCATCGTGCAACGCAGCACTGGATGCGGAAAGTTGTCCTAGATGTACAAAGACGTAAAACCGGCATTGCGGTGAGATCTTCCCTCCGCGTGTGTGCAAACTCCCGCTCTGCAAAACTCACAGCATAAAGGCACAAAGTACACAGTGGCTCGGCACTTGCGGTGACAACCTACTGCGGTGTAATAATTGAAGACATGGTAGTTCAAAGTGGCATACTTTTTCATGACGAGTTCCTTCTGGTGTAGAACTTTGAAAGGTCATAGTGAATGTGCAACCTCGTTAGGGTCAGCGGGAGATAGCGGGAGTGGTGCACCCGTGTTGGCACGTGCACCAGCGCGACAAAACATTTCGGCATGTGGCATGGGCGAGGTTGGTGGATATGGACCACTTCGCAATGCAACTCTCCACCTCACGCCTTAACCTTCTCGAGAATGAAAGCTAATGCTGAATCCGAAATGCTGGACGTCGTCAAACTCCGGGAACAGGACCTGCAGTTTCGAGTGCCATAGTTTCAACCATGAATATGTCCAGAGCGCAAGCCTGCCCTCCAGATTCCGAGTTGAGTTCCTCGGTGGCCTCGGCTCAAGCTCGGCCGCTCAGGGCCAGGAAGTCGTGGAAGCACAAAGCCTAGGCGGCATGCTGCATAAGCATCACGAGATCCACTCGCATGGCTCATGACCCGCAATCTTCATCTGCATCAACTACGTACCTGGAGACCAGGAGGGAGGTCCTTAAACGCCGAAGCCCGACACACTAGACTCGAATAGCGCTACCAAGTTGCGAAGAGAGCATCGTGATGGACACCGGGCCAGGTTCGAGTGTAAGGCCTTTGGGATATTAAGTAGACTTTGCGGCCGTTCCGGGCTTCGTCGACGTTAGTCATGCCCAACGAAGGTGAGGGTTTCATAGGTGTTTGAAGGGTTGGGGCATCCCAAGCCGGGAAGCACCTTGGATGGCTGGGGACAGCAGGCCGGATCCCATTTGGGGCGGCATGCTCCATAGACTCCATAGGTTCTTCTCGCCTTGAATTGGAGACGTTGAAATTTGTAGGGTTCAGGTCGGAGACTGCTTGGCAGGGCCCGATTGCACCCAAGACCCCAAACCTGTTCGGTGCTGCCACTCCGATGCGGTCATGACGATGTTTCTGACAATTACAAGTGCAGTTTGCATTGCAAAGAACTGCTTCTCACCCACGCATTGAGAGTTGCAACGTCGTGTCAGCTTCAGGTTGACAGTACTGCTACCAGTAGATTGTCATAGTCCGCAGTACTGTCGCGCTTATGTTCCACAGTCGTGCTTGCGGTTGTAACAGTACCGTTGCCGAGGGACGGCCTTCCACCCGAGAGCGGCGAAGCCAAAGAGAAGGCGAAGGCGCTAATACAAGGGCCTGAATAATCGCCTACGTTAGTGTCGGGGTTCCTTATTATAAAGGCTCCTACATTAGCGGAGCTTGGTTGTGGTGGTTGACGTGTGACATATCACCACCGAAATTTTGCTCATGACGGCTGAGGTTTTTCCAGCCACCTCTTCTGAGGTGTAAGGGTCGGAACCAGTGGTACAGCTGTGGAGGTTGATGAACCCCTGGATCTGCACTACTGCGCATGACATAGGTTTCAACACTCTCCGTAAAGGCTTCCGCACCGAATACTCCAAATAAATTCGGATCATTTGCTGCTCGATAGCGCTTATGTAGTTATCGGAGCAGCGAGACATACAGAGAGTTATGAGTCATGAGTGTGATGCGTTTTTTGGAGGCTTCACCTGTTTTGCCGGCAACTTGCCGTAAGAAGTTGACAAACCAGCGAAGCAATTCCATGGGTTTTGGTGAGCGTTCACGGTGGATATTTTGTCTTGCTTTATCGAGCGACATGTGTCTTGTCCCGAAGTGCTGAGACAAGCTGTGTCCGGAAATTGAATATGCGCCTTTCTCAAAGTGCTTCGGACTCGTAATATTTGTTGTGTGTTCTGGTTAGAAACGGCTTCTTTCGATTTGTTGACACATCCTTATCCTTCGGATCCCCCAAAGCGCTGCAGCCCGAAAGTTTCAGGCGCCACGAACTCATCATCCAGACCCGAGACCTGAAGTTTTGAAAGCCAAGACCGTGGAAACGTCCAGGCCCTGTTCCGAGAGCTACTCCAAATGCATGATTTTTGCACATAGCCCTTGAAACAGAAGACACCCATTTCCCGCGTCCCTGTAACGGCCAGACCAAGCCAAGCCCAACCCCAAAGCCAAAGATTGAAACAAGCTACATGCGGGTGTTGCGAGGAACCTCGTGCTTTGAATGCAGAAGGCCAGCCTCGATTTCGATTTCGGGTAGACTATATATATATATATATACATATACCTTTTTGGGGGATCGGAGCACAGGGTTTCAAAGTTGGTGGTTGCGGGTTGTGGGGGATCGGTCCTGTAGGTACTGCTCCTACACGTTGTGGCCATAGCCGGGCCCAACAGCAATGAAAAGTTTTGCAAGTCATTGTTCCGCATTTTGCCGGTGGTGAGATTCGGGTGGGCATCGATCCTATCGATTTTGGGTGTGCGTCCTAGCCAAGGATTCTAGGGCATTCGGGGCTTTCACAAGTGTGCAGATGTTCAAAAGCTCTCGAAACTTGAATCCCTGCAACCCCTACAGAGCATAGCCTACAGCAGCATCCTCTCAGAAGTTGAGAATCGCACGCAACTGCCGGATCCGTGTGCATTCGAAGCCTCAGCCACCTACCTAATTCTGTCTCAGCCCCGTGAAGTGAACAAAGCTTGGGTGTTGTTTTATGCGATGATTACAGACCCCCATGAGAAGTTCTAGAAGCGGCCTGCAAAAGCAAGGCCTTACACTCCCAGACAACTTGGGTTCCAACATGAGCATTTGCTGGACTCAAGTCCGAGACCATTCACCAAGAGCCCTGATCCTGAACCCTGTGGAACCGGGAAACATTGCAGTTTGAACTTTACCGTGATTTTCGTTGATTGAGTGTGAGTTTCAGGTTTGGGGTTTGCAGTTTTGGGGACCCTGAACCTGTGATGCTGACAGGCATCAAAGCTTTCGCGCGTGGAGCTTTTCCCGAGGCCTTGGCTTCCCACAAGTATTTTAAGCAAGGACTTTTCCCTGTCGGGTTCGTACTGTAACACATTTTCATTTGGAGCAGTAGGCCTTGGCTTGCAGGAGCACGATGATTCACATGATTACATACATGTGTAACCATCATCGTTGCTACCACCATCGTTATGATGGCTTCTTCATGACCAAGGTTTGTTGCATGTGTATCATTGATGCCACAGTAACTTTCACCTACATACCTACCGCCCTTGTTTCTCTCATCACTTGTCCGAGCATAGCACTGCCAATATTACAAGACATGCCGATGGCTATCAGTGAGAACGATAATTACCATGTCCAGTCAGCTAATTGCCATGTTAAGTAACGGTTGCATATGGTCACCGTTGCTAGCAACAGCGCGAGCCGTGTATCTCTTGTCACTGGATCTAGCTATTGCTATTTGGGTGTTTTAAGACGAATGCCACGATCAGCACCATGCTTGATGCAATGACCATGGTTCACATGAGTAACACTGAGATCCGATTCTTTTTGAAACTAATCATCAACCAGGATACCACTACACGTCGCGACAGTCAACCCGTGACCCAAACTCTTCGCGAAGGGGGAATCTCAAAAACCTTCCCCTAGTTGTGTGACCTGGGCCGGTAAAAAGAGTTGACGCACTCGCCCATATGGCAACAAGAACTGTAAGGCATTTGGTGTCTTGGCCAATCAAAACCACTGTAAGTCGGAAGTGCACGCTCAAGACGCCCTGGCTCGGGTAGCTGATGGGCTTCGACCCCTGGTGTCAATCCGAGTCCAGGCAGTTGCTGCATTCACTCGCGCTTACGACTTGCTGTCGGAGGCTCGTTCTCGCAGCACAGTCTATGCGATTGCGTGATAAGAGTTTCTTCTCATGGTGGTTTCGGACAGTCGTCACATGCTAGCAAGGTCAGAGGACTCAGATGTGCCATGAAAAGTTCTGATAAACAAACCGGATACTGAATTCTGCTTGGCCATTCAGTACCCTCAACTCCCGAAGTCGGTGCCTTTTGCACGAAGTTCGTGCTGCGCTGTTGAGCTGGTTCAGGCGCCGGTGCCCGACGGCGAGGCAGAATCGGCGCTGGCATTGAGATTTCATGGTGTGGCTTTCGGGTCTTGGGGTTGTGTTTGATGTTCGTGGAGAGCGTTCACGTTACGGAGGTTACTACCACAACAACGACTACTACTACTAC